GTATCGCAGGCGACGTAAGGGTACAATATAGGAATGGGAACAAGGCAGGGGGAGAAGCCTTTGGAAAATCTGAGAGAAGGATGACTCCAGAATTGTTACTGCTTTAAATTTCTGCAGAGACTTATACGTGTTTATCTCATCGAGTGTTCAAAGCTCATTCATTTCTCTTTGACATTGCTAACAAGATATCAAGAATTCCTGTTGTTTCTTCTCTTGGCCACTGAAAGCAAGAACACCCCTCACCTGAGAACAGAATTCATTCTTGAAAACTGTATCTCAATCACAGAACCACTCTTTCTTTCTCCATATACTAGTGATTAATATAAAATTGGGGGGCGGGGTGAAGATGGAACTATAATTTCATTTTACTTTTCAGGAAACTGAAGAAAAAAACAATATTTGTTCATGGTTTGAAATAACTGTAGAGCCCCTAAATGAGATTGCCTGTTCCTTTAGAGTCAACTTAATGTGAACACAAAAAGTCTTTCTCTGCATCTGTAGGTGGCCAGCTCCTTTCAAGGCATAAAAGGACTTTATCTTCTCAGCCAATTTCCCATGCAGGGATGGAGAAATAGGGCTGGCACAGAAACAGATGTTTCAACCATTAAACTTGAAGATCTTTTATTTCTATTACTTTTATTTGTACTGTAGCAAGGCCAAGAGAATTGAGACTGCCTTGTGTTGCAGTGCACTGGAGGTCATGCAAACGGAATAACTGACACTTCTCGGTGCAGACAGCTTTCTGTCCATTTCTGCTGCTTCTTCAGCAACCTTCAGCCAAGTTTCAGACTTTGCAAACATTTGTCCTTGGACTCAGCTGGATTACCATTATGCCCAAATTGATCAGATACTGTTTAAAATCAAATGTCTCTAAGTGAAAAGAGGTACTTCCACCTTTACATTACAAAAATCAGTCAGGTGACTGAATTTTAAAATTTAGCTCGTTACTTATGGTGTTCCTTTGCTTTTTGTAAGTCTCTCATCTTTGAGATTTTAAAGCCAGCCCTTTGCAGCATAAATAGGGTACATAGGAGGGAGGAGAGGGGACTGAGGGAGAAGCGGCTGGTGTTACTGAAACTGGGAACTTCGTTCCTACTGTCATTGCCTATGGTATCATGTTTAGTCTTTATATGATATTCAGAAAAAGAAAATAATTACTAATCTAATCAGAGGGTAACTAACTCATTCAATATTTTCCATAATGTGGTGTCTAATAATTTCCCAATGCGTCATCAGAAAGCAATATCAGAGAAAAGCAGCCTGATGCTACAAATGTGCTAATTAAATTATACTATAGAAATAGTAATCCAAAATGTAACAAGGGAGGGAAAAAGTAAGTTAAGCCCTGCAATACTATGTGATGTCCAACTTAAATGCAAGAAGCATGCAAAACCAGAACAATTTATCTTGAGATGGCACCAGAAAAGGGATGTTGCTTTTGCGCTGCTGTTCTTTTTTTTCCCTCACAAGACAAAGCAGACATGAGAAGGTGATGTCACTAGCATTTTAAGACAGCTCAATCAATAGAAACTTCAATTTGAGTTTTTTACATGGAGATGCTATTTTAACTTGAAAGGAGTAGTGGAAGCTATCTGAAATGCTGAAGCAATGAGAGATTATGTTGTAGGAGATGAATAATAGTGATCTGGTTTTATCATCCTGTAATTGATTCCACTGTGAAAAATTTATTTTTTGGAAGAAAAAAAAAAAATCCTTTAATTTTCTTTCATGATAAAGCTGGATATCTGATATGGAACAAGCCTTTTTCTACCTTAAGGGTATGTCTTGAAGCAGGTACCTGGACTCTCCAGAAGGTGTCCCAACCTCCTTGGGTATTCCTCCAAGGGACAAAGGGCATGCCTTAACAGAAGTGACAGGGACTGGTTTAGGACCTGCTAGCAGGGCTGCGTATTCTGGTGACCAGCAATAGCCAAGCAAGTTTTCTCAAGTGCTCAGAGACAGCAGCACGCACACCTGAAGCCTGAGGGAGTTTTTAACAACATTATATGTGATTACTCCACATCATTTGCTGTTCAGATAGTAATTTTAACTTTTAGGTCACCTTCCCCTATAGGTATTCGGAGTTGTGAATTTGAATATCAATTGCGTCAAGGGATTTTTAAAACCCTATTTCCAAAATCAGCAATAGGCAAGATATGTTGTTTTGGGTTCAGATCCTGTAGCAGCTTATCTTCTGTACACCAGCACTGTGGCTCAGATATTTTCAGAAGGTTTCCTCAAATTTTAGTTTTAAATAGAAAAAAATTATTAAAAAATCTGATCATTTCGTTAGGTTTACCTTCAGCCAGAGTCTATGAAGCTGGTTGACAATAAGCGATTAGTTTTGTGAGGTTCACATAGAAATGAAAAGCACAATAGGCCAGTACGTGGCTCTTCAGATCCTAAATCCGAAATGGTGACGTTCATTGGCTTCTTCAGTATATGACAAAGATTGCACGTAAACAACACAACAAAGACGTGAAATGCGGGGGAAATAATTTATCTAATATGCACAGTTTTCTTTGAGCAGTAGTCTCAAGTTCAGCACTTCTGGTGCCAGTAACGACAGTAATAAACAGTGTGATAAAATCAGGTTTAAGTGAGACAGTGGGGAATTTGGCTCTAACATGAGTGACGTACCCTGTAATGAGTTTACAGCTGAGAAGTAAGCCTTAGTCTGCTTCAACATTTGAGATGAAGAATAAACAGGGAATCTTTCCTGATTATTAACCTCCCCTTTGTTTTGCCACAGGGCTTACTTGTCAGGAAGACAGGAATGAATGTGAAGAGAGTCTTTGTTTTCCTGGAGTGTCTTGTACGAACACCTTTGGATCATATACATGTGGAATTTGCCCCAGTGGGATGGAGGGAAACGGTAAAACTTGCAAATGTAAGTGTTTTGCATGATTTATTTTAATAGATGGGGGGAAAAAAATGGGTTCAATTCTACTACTATTATCCTTGATTGAGTACTTTGCCACTTACTTCAAGTACGGACCTTTAAGTATACAAAGCAGACTATTGTCATGTTATATTAATATGGATAATTGCAAATTGCTCTCTGTTTGCTGTTTTTCACTGCAGTTTAGTTTCATTTTGATTAGAACGAACACCATAGCATACAAAAAAGTATTTTCCAGATGCCACCTAGATAATTTGCCAAGAACATTCCCCATGTTCTCCATTATTTCACTCCTAAATATATCACCCACTAATAAGTACTTGGGGAGCACCCCCAGGATTACTTTTGCTTTGGGTGAATGCTGTGTAAGCAGGATGTAGGGTAAGAGGAAGAAGGTCCATGTGCAAATCCTTCACATCCTTTCACCTCTGTTTCCAAGGTGAGCTTTCATTACAGGACGCAGTCCATAGTTGCTGAGCTCATGCTTGGCATGAAGCCACACCACAGTTCCCAACTGGAGAAGGAAATGGCCAGGAACAATTTTATACCTGCTCAGAATTTGCTTTTGGGGCAACAGACTCTTTAGTAGGGAGACAACAGTGACTTTGTGCTCTGCTGAGACCTTCCCAGTGCACAGGATGTGACCTACTCATACTCTGCTTGTTTCAGTCATATACACATAAGTCTTCTCCAAAAATTACATTTTGTTGGCCAGAAGGAGAGAAATCAACACTTGAAGTGTTTTGCATTTGTTTGTTTGTTTTTTGGTGTTTCCAAAGAAATCCAAGAAGCAAAAGATACAGATATTAACTGTGCAGGTACTAACTTTTCCTCATATTGACTACCAAATGTAAAAAAAACCACTGATGTAAAAAGACTCAGTTGTAAGTGCAGGATCCTGGCACCAGCAGGACTGCTTTTGACAGATTTACCAAATATCCATTCAATCATACTGCCAAATGTCTGTACAGAATGTTTTCTTTTCTGTGTTATTTGGCCACATTGGTTATTTCAAAGTGATTTTGCATCTGTTTCACTAATGCATATTTTTGTAGCTAATTTGTCCAATGAAGAAAAGATGTAAAAAAAATGCCCTTTTAAAAAAAATAATTTCTTTCTTTCCATATATTTTTTATTACAGAAAGATTTCCCTATTTCCAAAATGCACATTTATTAGAAGGAATAAACCTGATGGCTTCCTTGTCCACCCAAAATAGGGCAGACATCATTCTTTGTGGTTCCGATATACAGACATAACATACCTACTCATACCTCCCTTGCTTAAGCAAGGATAAAGGCTTCTGGAAGGAAGGAAGGAAGAGAAAACTGAATTAATTTTACAGCTCTTAGAGCGGGCTATAGCTCATTGCATTGTTTAATATATATAAAGAGTCACAGTCTCTGGCTTTATTAAGAGCACAGAATACCCAAGAGACCCAGGGCAATAGCTGTTTAACTTGCAGCATTGTTCACATAGACTTTATCATCCCTAATTCATTCAAGAATTCTCTTAAAATTATGCAGAAATCAATATTTTTAGATTCTCCACCAATCAGTTTTCCTCTTTACATCCATGGTACACTCTGTACAGGTATTTTGACACATACAAAGTTTGCAGCTGAACCACCCAAAGGCAACAAACGTGCACACCGCTTTCAGTCAGAAGCTTTCAAGGAGAGGCAGGAATCAGACAGAGCTCAGTCCCAGCGCGTGGTGCAGCATCTTCATCCAAGCAGCAATGCTGTGTGATACGCGGGGACCTGAAGCCTTCTCACTGCCCTTAGCTCAATAAAAGATCACTGTGCATACTAAGTACGTCTCTCAGATAATCAAAGTTCAGTGAGTTTGGGCATAGTAATTGTTTCTATATTTGTGTTGAAGCTTTGCTGCATGTCAGCAGCTGACTCACCTGATTTGCCTTTATTTGCTTGACGGTTGGCTTCCAGAATAAACTTATGTCAGGTTATCTGATTTGCTGTTGCTGTTGCTTTTTATCATCAATCACAGCTAAGCCCTAACACCTTGTTTCCTTGTCTCTGTGCTTTCTTTTCACAGCTGTGCTTGCTGCTGACACTACAAAAACTTTAAGCACTGAAAAAGGCAATGGCAAAGGCGATTTGAACAAGACTGAGGTTAAGCAGCTAGTGCAACCCTCAGAGGCAAAGGATTCTCCTGTAATTAAGAATTTTAGCATAAGTGATAGACACGGTAGGTATACAAGGATGTGAAATCTTTTTCGGTTGCTGCAGTTTATGTATTCAGAAATCATACATTTTACCATCTTAACAGTAACCATAAACTAGCTGTTTATAATACATCACAGAAAGACAGAGTTAAAAATCCAAAAACCCCTCAGTAAATCAGACTGGATTGCTGCTAAACAATTTTACATGGGAAGAGAGCCGTTACAGCAATAGCAATCAGAGTGGTCAGGCTTAACTAGAAATCTCATTGCTTCTGAGGCAGAACAAAATCACTCCAAATCTTAGTGATCAATGGAAAGCAAGATGATAAGAATGACAGCTTATGCCAACTTGCCATCGCCAAGTGCTGCGGACATTTTATTTCAGCGTTTGACAGGCAGCCACTGAATTAAGACTGAGATTTGAGCACAAGCAAAGATCGACCCTTGAAGTATGAACCTGATTGTGGCAGCCGCTTTTCCCAGACACGGAAAAGCTGCTTAAGTTGGCCCAGTTTTAAAGGGTATTGCATTTTTATTTGATTTTTCTAGCCAAAGCGGGGAGCAGAAGAATTGAGACTGGACATGTCTGTTGTGTGGGGTCATATGTGAAAGAAAATATTTTTTTTTTCTCACCTTCTTTTGTAAATCTGTAGCAGGCCAGCCAACACCTAACCAGAACACGCCTCTTATGGGTAGGTATCCATCATAATGCTGTAGGCAAGGGGCAAGAATAATGCTGAAAATACTTGAGAATCGAGATGGAGACCTCACTGGAGGCAATTAAAAAAGATCTACAACCATCATTAAGATTTTATTCATCATCTGTTCTCTGTCTTGACACTATTAAATACTTCCCAGGCAGTTCATATACACTTGCTATTCAGTGACATCATAAGTGATAAAATATTATATACTACCGGAGTGTTAAATTTTGCACGCAGTTCTACAATAATTAGTCTCCTGTCATACAATATTTGACACATTAAGGATGATTTCTAGATCAGAAACATATGTGCTTGACTGTATTTTTAAAGGTAGGGTATATGTGCTCTAAGGTTTGATGATTACCTTCCAATTATGAAAGACCAAAAGGATGTTGAATCACCCAGTTTCTCATCCAGTTAATCTTTCAGTTATGCTGAAAATTACAGTTTCTATATTATCCATGATAAATGCCAAACAACTTTGAGTAATAAACTTGAAAACATATAATTAGAGGACTAATAAATCTTGCTTTAATGAGAAACAGCTGTTCTGTTACACTTTGCCTACAGGACATTCTCATGTTTGGCTCAAGTTTGGGGAACATTCTGCATTAATTAGACTTTAAAAGAATAAAAGCAGTTACAAAGCTTTAGCTGGGCTCAGGCAGTCACTGCTTAATTTCATATATGTGTTTGATTTGAGAAATAAAAAATAAACACGTTTGAACTCCCTTCTTTTTCAGGCCATGCAGCACCACTGTCACATATTACTACCTGCGCCAACAGGCCATGTTTTCCCGGGGTGTTATGTTTTGATCGGAAACCCCCTTACATTGGATACGTCTGCGGCCGATGCCCAGTAGGGTTTTTTGGAAATGGTCGAATCTGTGCCAAAGTCCCCAGACCAGGTACTTTCTAATTTTTAGAATTTTAAAAAGGTTTTGCATACAGAGGCTGTAAGAAAATAAGAACTAGCATGGCATTACAGTACAATGTACTTTAGAATCGAACACGGAAGCCTTTTTGCTTTTGCTCTTACCTGACGAGCAGCTAGCAGGTCTGATTTCAGGAATACTTGGCTCTATGAGTCAAAATTCAATAGATGAGCCACCTCATTTGCCACTAGGGAGAATTCTTCACAACAGGACTTACTAGATGGTACGAATCACCACATCTGTATTTCTGCCACAGCGCTGGCACAGGATTTCAAAACACGTTTCCTCCTCAGTAAGATCAGAACATGAGACACGCCAGTATCACTCTGCTTTCCTTCTTTCCTAATTCTTTTGCTGCAAGACATCAGTTCTTCAAGGTGACCTGTGACGACGATGATAAACAAAGTGTCATGCAAGAAAAACTATACCAACAACTAAAGGCAACAGATAATTAAAGCATTTCAATAGTATCGTTCATAGCCTGAGCAATAATCTTCCTTAGAGAGCTCTGAAACTCACCTGGTCCCATTAATCTCTGAGGACTGATCATTAGAAGAGGTCTTCTGCTATGATAAAAGCTGGGTCCTGACCTCAGGCAGAAAGTGGCAATAGCATAGCAACCACTCATCAGTCATCTGATCCTGCTCTCAATGAAATTCCCATAATTCACTGTATGGTCCTCTAGGGACAGTCTGGATGGTCGTCCCCTTTTTACTGTACAGAGTGATTTGCCAAGAGAACTCATGTTTATTCCCTAATAACACTAGTTACTAGGTCAGATTCCTTGGTTTTCTTCTAAATCTTTTTCTTAAGTATTCAAGACAGACTGGCTTGAAACCTGTCAAATTTTTCCCCAACCTCCTATATTTGACAAACCCACCTTCACTTGCCATTCTGTATCTAAATCGATGTCTGTTACCTTGGTGTTATATTTTAATGGACACTATCAAAGCGGAAGCAATTTTACTACTTAGCATAGATATCATCCCATCTCTTTGAACTATAAATTGATTTTAGCCAGTTCTCTGAACCTAAAAGTCACAAAAATAAACCCAACATTTTTCTTTCTCTAGCAATGAGTATGTACAAAGCATTATTTAGTCTGTCAGAGTCACTAAGTCAGCTATTGACTCTTCTATAACTTGGTGAAGCTGTAAAAGCAGATGAGCCAAAAAAAAAAAAAATTAAAAAAAATCATTGTACATATAAATAAAGTAACATTTCTGTTACTGCCCAAAGCTGCACCTCGTCGTTAATGGGATAATGGGATATACGTTATACACCCCAAAGGTCATTTAAATGCTGTTGAATAGAACAGATAGTTTCCAGCTGTAGGTATTGGTACAGTAAATCAGACACACATCATGCTTATGTAGTAGTAGTAATGTAATAGACATTAACCAATAAATTTGTGAATGTTCTAAAAAGGGAAGTGTAGACAGTAGTTGCCATTTACTGAGATTCATACCTGTCATATGCAACTCCAGGCAAGATTTAAGAAATATCCCAAGTATCAGGATCTGGAACGAATACATACTTGTTTCAAAAGCGAGCTGAATACCAGAGGCTGGGGGTTTGTTTTTCTTTTTGCCTCTCAAATACGCAAACTGAGTCCGGGACTTCATGCTGCAAATGTGGCCATCCAACCAGCTTGAGCACTTTGGGGAGGAAATGAAGAGGAATTATTTTTTGTTCCATCAGAACCTTATATTCACTCATGTGAATTATATCACAATATAAACGATGAGAATCTTGTGCCTCAAGGTTAAACGAGAGTAGTCATTTGTTTTAATATTTAGAAATGAAAGCAATTGCTGCAGCTGTACGAGTGTCCTAATTTATGACCAAAATGATCGGTTTAACTTTCTTTCCCATGCGCTTTGCTAGCCCAAGCAGAAGTATTGTATAGCATTGATGATTAAAAGATATCAGACAAAAAAGAATGAACTTTCAACTAAATTTATGTATAGTCATGGATTATGATTATTGTGAAATCCTCCCTGTTAGAATAATAGCTTCTCTCCCATGTAACTTACGCTATCAGTCTTCAAATGAAACAGAACAAATCCTCTTCAGCTTGCTACAGTGCTTGTGAAGGTACTGAGATTATGTGCCACCTCTTTCCAACTCTAGTAATTTTAATCTAAAAATACTCTCGCTAATCCCTATTTTGTACTTTTATTGGCTGCTTTTCACATGAAGTTATGCTCAATTGTTGTGATTTAAGGATTAAGGGATAAGTACTTTTTCATACAGAAAACGCAAAAATTACCCAACTGCCTTTGTAGACTACCGAGGAGAAAAAAATATGCCAGGAGAAAATTGAAATCCTAAACCAGTGTTTGATGAGCTGCACCCAAAAGCCCTTCAATTTTGATATATAATCAACAAAGTACCATTTCCTCAGCATTGATATGTGATAGGTATTAATCTTTTTATGTACTTGACTTACTGCAAACTGTGTCACTCCACAAATAAGTTTCTGAGCTATATTTACCTGCTCTGCCGACAATGCAGGGCCTCATTCTGTTCTCACTTATGTGTTTTACCTGGCTTATATCAGTAGTTTGTACCAGTTTAAATCAACCAACCAGACCTCGTTGCAATTGTTCTTGAAATGCGTCAGATTAGTCTTAAGGAAAAACATCACCAGTGTCAAAGCCAGTATGGAGTTTCATATATAAAGGGAAATAATTATTTTTTAAAATACATTCTTGTATCAGAAACAAAAAAGTATTTCTCTCCCTTCAAAATCCATAAAACAGGTATCCTACATTCTTTAAAAAATTTACTAGCAGGATCAAAAGTCCCTTAATTTTGCTGGCATTGCAATAAAGGGGAAAGTCTACGGAATTTAAATCTGTCCAGGCTTCCCTGGGCACATTTCACATTTGTATAAAATATCTGTTACCTTTTTGTTAGAAGAGGCAGATCTATTAAATCAAACCATGCAGTATCATAGGTCATGTTCTTGGCACAAAGAAAATGAATATATCCTAATGGGGGATGCTGGCGATGTTACTGCAGGTTGCAATATTAGTTCTCGTCAGACACTACCGGTATTTCTCTAGCCTGGTTTCATCACTCACAGTCACAGAGATACCCATCTGTTTGCACTTTCTTTAGCAGGTTAGAGAGGTTGGTGTCATCACAAAAGATTTATTTTTTTCCTATTAGTAAATCAGCAATTTTACTGGACAAAGCGTTGCCACATCCATCACCGATAAAAGATTGTTTGTTCAGAGCCAGCTCGTTCTGCCTCTCCTGGTTTAGGGGCCCGAAGATCAAGGCAGAGGATTATTTTATGATCTCTGTAATCGAGTTCTGCTTTTCCATTCTGAACACCACCGCTAGCTCTCCTGCCATAGCAGTTAATTTGCAGTATTGTGGACATTTGGCACTTGATATACTTTTGTATGTGCCAGCTATTTGTTATGTTTACGTACTCTGTGCTTTACACTGTTACAGTATCTGCACTGTGCTTCTGAAGCTATCTTGATTTTACAACAGAGAGACCTCTGTGACCTTCTCATTTGCACCACTGTCAGATCAGCATCAAGGATTTAAGAGGAGAATAAAATGTTTTGAATGAAAAGAATGTGTGTGTTTAAACACATAGCGCTCAGTCTAACACCAGAGGAACATATTAATCTTAAATTTTGCATTCTTAACTTTTAACTTTGAAATCACTGCTCTCATTATTAGCATTCATTTGATCACTGTCAATGAAAAAGAAATAACTCCAGTAAGAACTTTGGTCACCAACCCAAGGTTTCATCTCTGGAGCTAGCTAACTGCAGGAGCAGGGACCTTTTACTGCCCAGAACCAACCAAATGATTTTGCTTCAAGAGATGACTGAAGAACACAATAGACTCCTTTCATTTCGTATCTATCTGATGAATTTGCATTAAGAAGATCAAGGCCCAGATTCCAGTCCCGCTTACACCAGTGTAAATCATAAGTGATTCCATTAAATGGATAGCATTACCCTAATGGAGTGAGCCGAGCACTATTCCTGGAAGACACTTCCTAAAACCTGTTAAGGTAGGCACATCACACACAGAACTTTTAAATGCAAAATCTATATGTACCGATGGGTGTAGATAAAATGCACACACTTTTCAGCATTCAGAGGGTGCTTCGCAGTGAGTAACTAACCAGTCTTGACATGGTTTATGCAATGGATTACAAGGCTTACTTGAACACAGGAATATTTTGATGCTGCAGTCACTAGCCATGAAGTTGTCTGAGATCCTTGCAAAGAAGGCGTACCAGAAATACTAAATAAACAGTAAATAATACTCTGATTTGCTTCTGTGTGGTAATAGCTCTCAGCTATTCTCGTGGGCTCCAAAACCGGGAAGCGTTATATCGCAATGCTGTGGCTTTCAGCTCCTAACTCTGACTCAGGTCATTGAAATGCTGTCCACAATTCATCTTTGGAATTGGTGGTAGAAGTTGCTGATCCCTTTCCTAAACTAAATTTCGGTGTTTCCAGTTTGTGTATTTCAGGACAAAATTACATTTTTTTCAGACTGACCACTTATGATGTAATGATGTCTCCTTCAAGGGGTACGTGATGAAATGGCAACTGAAGTGGGGTTAGAAATGCCACACAAAGACATCCCATATGCATTTGGACTCATGAAAGACAGAGTTTTGCAAATGGTATACCGGTAATCTTCGCACGAGGCCAGGATCAGCCTGGCATTTGGGACATAAGCTGTGACCCTTACCTGCCCTCTGAGTGTGTAATTGCCACTGAAAATCCACTCCCCTGCTTGTCAAGATAGAAAGGGAATCTGAGAGTCTTTCTGACGGTTTTCTCCTCGTTAGGGATAGCTAATAAAATATTAAGTATTTTCAGAAAAATATCAACAGAGGCCTGTACGGTATATGCTATGACCCAAACATAACAACTAAAGTAGGCACAGTGGGAAGAATATGTTTAGATAATTTAAAAGATAAACGG